CTAACAGCAGAAAGACTGGGAATGACTGGTCACTATGACACACACTGACCACCAGGGGGCAGACGCTCAATGCAGGAGCTGCCCCCTGGTGGTCAGTGTGCTCCCACAGGGGGAGCTCTGCTCAGCCACAAGCCAGGCTGATGGCTGCCAGCACAGCGGTGGTGGTAGGAGCCACTCACGCCTCCTCAGCAGCGCTAAGGATGTCTGACTGCAGCTTAGGCCTGCTCCCTGCTGGCAAGTGGACATCCCCCGAGGGCTGCCAGGCTGCCAGAGGGATGTCTGACTGCCAGCTTGGGCCCGATCTCCCAGGGAGCGGGGCCTAAGCCAGCAGGTGGACATCCTCCGAGGAGTCCCAGACTGCAAGAGGGCATACGCCGGGCTGAGGGACCCCCCTGAGTGCACAAATTTTTGTGCACCGGGCCTCTAGTTTGAAATATCCTATCTAATATAGACAAAGATTGAAATTGACCGTACCTTCACTACGCCTCCCATTGGCTAGCCAGCGAGATATGCAAATTAACCGCCAACAAAGATGGTGGTTAATTTGCATATGTAGGTGCAAAGTGGTGGAGCGAAGACTGAAGGCAGCTCCGGCCACCAGAGCAGTGAGAGGCTTGAAGGCGCCTCTGGCCGCCGGAGCAGCGAGAGACTTGAAGGCGCCTCCGGCCGGAGCAAAGGCCTAGGTCCCGGAAGCCGGAGGAAAACCGGTGTCGGCAGCCAGGGGAAGGGAAGGCCTATTGCACGAATCTTTTCATGCAACAGGCCTCTAGTATGTTTAATAATGCTAATAAGGCTGAGGATGTAGTTCAATCAGTGGAGGTTTTATTCTTCACTTTCCTCTGCTGCCTCTTCAGCAGGATATTCTGATGTATTTATCCTCTCTCCTGTGGCTTCTTCACTCTGTTCCCTGGGGTAAGAAGAAGAAGGCCAAGGCTTTTACTCTTGAAAAAAACAATTAAACTATTCATTATTTCCTCATTTTAGATAAGAATTCTAAATTGTTCCTAATCATTTACATTTTTAGGAAAGCTACATTCTCAGTTGTATCCTGAGACTTCTGCTCATTTTTCTTAAATATGGCCAGGAAAGATGCAAACAGATTCTTCAGCCAAAGAAACAGTCTTCTGCAGAAACCGCCCTCCTACAAAACAGAGAGGGAAATCTGAACTCTGAGTTTCCCCTGCTTTGTCCCACCATAGTACTTTATCTTCCTCAAATTTACCTCCAGCTGGTATTCTGCTGATTTGTTCTGCTGGCCACTTGCAAGAGAGCCCCTTGGAAGAAAATACATGCTGACAATTAGTGATTCCATGTCTCTTACACATATAGCTCTTATTAGGACTAAATGGTTACCTGGGTCCATACTCCCAAGCAAAATCACCACAGACCTGGCACTTAAAAAACAATTCCTTGCATAGTGGGCTTCGAGAAGTCCTCTGTGTGTGTTTAAAATGCCCCTGCAATACCTCTGGGAGACCTATGTATGTGGCTTGTGTTAGGGTCACTGAAAGAGGAACGCATGAGGCCAAAGTGGTAAGGGGTTATAGGGTTAGGGTTATTATGTCATCTGGAAAACCAGATGGGCTGAGCCCTTTCAAAATGGCACCAGCACCCAGGGACAGGGAGTCAGAGATTTTAAAGGATTATAGGTGGGCTTTTTCTGGGCAGACAATTCTCTGGACCAGTCCTGAAGGGAAAGATACGGGTCTTAGCAAGTGGAATGTAGTCTAAGCGAAAGGGAATATTGGTTGTGAAGTGGTGCAAAGATCAGTTCCCAGGGGAGGATTTATCCATTCAATTATTTGATCAGATCTAATATTCCATTCTTTTTGTTTTATGGAATAGGGACGAAGGTCATATCTTCTATAGTTACCTAGGGGGGACATCGAGATCATAAGGGGATGGACTTTGATTGTAGTCATCTGGAACACTGTATAGATTCCTCATGATTGGAGTGAGGGGTTGCAGTAGCATGATTTCTCCAAGCAACTAGTTGGTGAAGGCTCGAAAGCGGTCTTGTTGAGTGACTTGGAACGTAAAAGTTGGTCCTGAGGATACCTATCTCTGTCTCCCAGTCAACTGGACTGGGACCTGCACCCTAATCTATCTCACCTCTGAAACAGACATTGCCCCTACTAATCGGTCCTTCAAGGTTCCTCTCACTGCTTACACTTGGATCGGGAGAGGTACTGCCCTCCTTCCCTTCCTTGCCTGCATAGGAAAAGCTATAGGCCTAGGCACTGGTATAGGGGGACTGGCAACCTCCCTTTCCTATTATCAGAGCCTATCCAAAGACTTTGCAGAAAGCTTAGAGGAAACTGCCCTGAGTGTTGACTCAGTACAGTATGAGACAGATTCCCTGGCAGCAAAATCGGACAGGACCTGACCTCCGCACAGCTGAGAAAGAGGAAAAATGCTGTTTTTACACCAATCAGTCTGGCATAGTAAGAGATAGGGCAAAAAAACTGGTCGATAGCGCCTCAAAAGTCTGACAACAACTTTCAGAATCTTGGGGTTCCTGGCTACAGAATCTTAACTGGACCTCCTGGCTTTTACTTCTGGGTGGACCCCTCTTAATGTTCGTCTTGGCACTCGTCTTTGGCCTGGGCATCCTAAGAGCCCTTTCCTCCTTCCTCCAAAACCATATTCAGGCAATCAGATCCATAGGGGAAATGATGCTATTCCAGACCTACTCTAGATATTATCTCCTCCCTCTATCACTGACTAATTAGGGGCATCTCTACACCCCACCTAAGCATGAAGAAGCTACAGAAGAATGAGATCAGCATCTCTCATCCACCCCAGCTTGCAGGAACCCCAGCTTATAGGAATCCCAGCTTACAGGGGGAAAAACGAGAGGCTGGAATGTTAGACATATTCTTGCACTCCATCATGCCCTGCTTGGGGCTCTTTCCCCTCCAAGCAATTTTCCTGTTCACCGACCAGTTTCTCATTGTAGGTCTCATGATTAACAGCCTTTGGTTTCCAGTAAACTGCTTCACCCAGTTCCCAGTGGACCACCTACACCTGATTTAACCAGTTAGTCTGACTGACCTTTACAAGAAACATAAATATCCTGCTCCCTCTACTCTGCCCTGCTGATGCCATTTTGGTCTCAGCCCTTCTGCTAGCAGATGTAACAATCCTATATAATAAAAGGCTAATAAGCAAATCGACCCATCAGTGGAACAACTGGTTGCTATGATGTGCACTGACCACCAGGGGGCAGATGCTCAATGCAGGAGCTGCCCCCTAGTGGTCAGTGCACTCCCACAGGGGGAGCGCCACTCAGCCAGAAGCCCTGAGCCAGCTCACGGCTGGCAAGTGCAGCAGCGGTGGTGGGAGCCTCTCCCACCCTGCGGCAGTGCTAAGGATGTCCAACTGCTGGCTTAGGCCCCTCCCCAGGAGGAAGCCGTCAGTTGGACATCCCCTGAGGGCTCCTGGACTGCGAGAAGGTGCAGGCCAGGCTGAGGGAACCCCCAGTACACAAATTTTATGCACCAGGCCAAAATTCCAGAATTTATCATTCTTTACCCCTTTTGGCCTCATGTGTTCCTCCTCCGGTGACCCTTACAGCTTGGCATGGGATATAGGTATGATTTTCAGCCCCACTCACCTTCTTGGCACTTGCACAAGTGCCCTCATGCAGTGAAAAAATTTTTAAAAAGCACAACCACACTGGGCAGAAGCAGTTTACACTCTCCAGAATCATTTTACATCTGTTTTTAGTCTCACATGCATCATTTGCTGGGGCAGGGTGAGGGGTGTTTTTATTTTCCTAGTTGCCTTATCCTGTAAGTTAAATCACACCAACTAAATATCTGACTCCAACTCACAAAGTTATCTAGCTTGCTGACTGCCACTGATGAAGGGGTGAATTGTGAAATCAGTTTAAAGGTCATAACAGACACTAAAATACAAAGTCTTGTTTTTTTAATACAAACAGAAAAAAATCAGAGTGCATAATAATATTGTTTTAGAAACTACTTATGTCACCCTGACCGGTTTGGCTCAGTGGATAGAGCGTCGACCTGTAGACTGAAGGGTCCCGGGTTCGATTCCGGTCAAGGGCATGTACCTTGGTTGCGGGCACATCCCCAGTGGGGGGTGTGCAGGAGGCAGCTGATCGATGTTTCTCTCTCATCGATGTTTCTAACTGTCTATCCCTCTCCCTTCCTCTCTGTAAAAAATCAATAAAATATGTTTAAAAAAAAAGAAACTACTTATGTCTGGCATGTGTGTAATGAGTTGTGACATAAAATGTAGCTCATATCCCAAGCACAATACAATCAATGGAAAAGACCCTAACAATGGGCAAGGTATTTTCTTTCCCTTTCCCCTTCTCCATTTCCTTTTTATTAAAGAAAAAGACAAACTACTGTATAAGGTCTTTCCCAGTTAAAATTTTATGAATTTAGATAAAGGGAATAGAGAGAGTAGGGGCCTGAAAACTGGTACAGTAAGGCCTCGATTTTGGGGACCTACATTTGGACTTTGGATTTAACAGACAAAATTTCTGGTCCATATGTCATATGTGAAAATAATACCCTGTCAATTTTAAAATGCTTTTAAGCAAAGTTTGCTTATAATTAAATTAACAGGTTATTTTTTGTTATTAATTCATTATTACTTTAAACAAATTTTAGCAAATAGGTCATATGTTACAAAAAACACTGTAGTATTTATGTAAGTAAATATTATATATCTACAACTATAGTCTACATATTTAAATCCAAGAGTCACTCCTTATAAAAAATGATTGGGAAATGATTAGGAAGTAATTACACTGCATGACTTTCTGCAGCAGTTTTAATGTGTGCAGGCACGGTTCTGAGGTGTTGCTAAGCCCCAGCCGTGTGCATTTGTTTACTCTCAGTGACTAGTGAATGCATGCATTTACTAGACCTGTTCAGTATAAATTTGAAATTACAGAAATACAGAAAATTTTTCTGTGAAATTAAACTTTTCATATATAATTTTAATTACACAAATGAGACTACATAAGTAAAAACAGGTAATCTAAAATGTCATTCTAAAATTTGTTTAAAATAACAGTGAATTAATTACAAAGTGTCATTTTAACATATGCATTTGGAAAACCTACTTTATTATTTAATAGACTTTTGGCTTAAAGGACACACCCTTGCTCAAATTAGTCTGTTATATCGAGGTTTTCCTGCTAATTTGCAGGAAGGACTCATATATTCTACCTTTCATCAGCCTTAAAGGAGACTAGTGTCTTTACCCTAAGACCATGTGGCCTTCCCTACTCTTTCCCCAGAACCTCCATCACTAGCAGAAACACATACAACCAAGACCTCTCCCTCTATACCATCTCCTTAAAGGGGTAGTGACAGCAGACGCATCTGTGCCAGTCCGTTCTATTTCAGCTTTGGCTAAGGAGCCATTTTTGCAAAATCTAGGCAAAGCATCAGGATAAATAACTATTCTTTCCAAATTTGATGGTTTCCTCGCTGTAAAATGAGGAGATTGAAATAGATGAGTTATGAATTCTTCTGTATTTTTTAAAAAATAATGAATTTACTCCCAGACCATAAGTTTTTGGGTTTGTTTTTTTTTTTTTCTTCTTCTGGGATATCTTTTTCTTCTGTGCAACCTTCTTTTCTGTTTTAGGAACAATCTGCTCTTTTCCAATAAGGATCACCTCACTGTGGCAGGGAGAGCTCATGTATGGGTTAATCTGCCCATGAGCTCTGTAAGTTCTGCACTGCATTTTGGGAGCTTTGTTCACCTGGATGTACTTAATGACCAGAGAATCTACGTCTAAACCTTTAAGCTTGGTGTTGATTTCTGCATTTTTAAGTACGTACAGCAAAAATTCAGCACTCTTTTTAGGCCACTGACCTTGCACCCAGCCCCACTCTTTGGCCTGGGCACACCTACCAACTCCACCATTGTAATGACAGAATGGCACACACTGCTTCTGTAAAGTGACATCCTTCAGATGCTTGGTGGTTTTTTGAATATGCATACCCTTGGTGGCATGGGCAGTTTCACAAGTGTGCTTAAAGTGAACAAAAAGGTTTAAACCTCTGGACTTCCATGATTTTGTTGGGTTTTCTGACTCAGTGAATAATGAACCATTTTCAGAGGTCACCTCTGGCCGCTTAGAGAAAGTTCCTCTAGTGCTAAAATTCTATTTTAAAAATCACCAGACTCATATTTACCTTGAGCTTTCTTTTGAAGCCTCCTTACTGTGACAAATCTGTTTTGGGAGAAAACAACATCATGATTATTCATCAGAATGACCACTGTCTCTAAAGCTTTGATTCCTGCCATGATTCCTTCCCTTTTAAGTGAGATGATAACTCTTTTGAGGACAAAAACTCTGCCTAGTCCTTTGACTCTTCCATAGTCTTAACTTAGGACCTTGCATGCAGTTGGCAATGCATTTTATTGGCTGTTTCAGATAACATTCAGCAGATAATTCCCAATAAAAACTCTTAGAAGTAGAAAAGAAAATGAAAGTATCTACCAGAAATCTACACAGCAGCTTTGTTTTAGGTCAAGGACAAGAGTAGGATGCCAGTTATTACTGATACTATTCATCATTGGTGAGGAGGTCCTAATCAATTTAATAAGAAAAATGAAGTACTGGAAAGAAAGAGACAAAACCTATTTGCACATGAGATGATGCACAACCTAAAAAGCCCAAGAGCCATAGATTAAACTATTTAAAAAATATATTTTTAATGATTTCAGATAGGGAGAGGGAGAGATAGAAATATCCATGATGAGAGAGAATCATGGATCAGCTGCCTCTTGCACACCCCCTACTGGGGATCAAGCCCACAACTGGGCATGTGCCCTTGACCGGAATCCAACCCAGGACCCTTCAGTCCGAAGGCCAACGCTCTATCAACTGAGCCAAACTGGTTAGGGGGAGATTAAACTTTTATTGGCAGTAATACAATTCAGTAATATGGCTAAATCCAAAATCAAGAGATCAACATGCAGCCATAGCTGGTTTGCTTAGTGGATAGAGTATCAGCCTGCAGACTGAAGGGTCCCAGGTTCGATGCCTGGGTTATGGGTTCCATCCCCAGTGGGGAGCGTTCAGGAGACAGCCGATCAATGATTCTCATCATTGATGTTTCTCTCTCTCTCTCCCTCTCCCTTCCTTTCTAAAATCAATAAAAAATATATTTAAAAAAAGAGATCAACATGCAAACCTCAATATCTTTCCTACATACCACAAATAACAAAAAAAAAATGAGAGAACCCATTTACAATAAATACATAAAGTACCCAGAAATAAACTTAACAAAAAATGTGTTAAGACCTATGTAATAAAAACATTAAAACTCTTCTAAAGGCCAGTAAGAGAATACACATGAGGTATCCTGTCCCTAGAATTCTGTAAAGATGTCAATTCTCCTCAAATTAAACCTACAGATGCAATGCAATCTTATTCAAATTCCAAGATAGGTGTGTTTTTTTAATTGATTTTATAGAGAGGAAAAAGAGGTAGAGAGAGAAACATCGATGTAAGAGAGAAACATCTGTGTGAGCAAGAAACATCAATGGGTTGCCTACAAACCACTTCTGACCAGGGATCAAACCCGAAATATGGGCATGTGCCCTGACCGGGAATCAAACACACCACCCTTTGGTGCATAGAATAACGCGCCCACCAAGTAAGTCACATCAGGCAGGGCCGAAAATAGTTTTTAAACAAAAACTGGCCAGCTGACATTTGGTAGAGAAAATGTGCAAGAATAGCTATGAAATTTATAAAAAAGATAAAAAATCAGGAGCTTACCCTATCAGAAGTCAAAATATAAAGGAATTGTAATTAATAGTGATACTGCTATTACCTAGTGATACAGAAAAAGACAACTGAATCAACAGAATAGAGTCCTGACAAAGAATTTTAGATCAGTAAAGAAAGAGCCATCCAATAAAAAATTTTAAAACAATTGGATATTCATGTAGAAAGAAAAGAAGTCAACCACACTAAAAACAAAGTCAATGATCAAGTTAAAAAATTAGAAATAACAATAAATGTTATAAAAAGGGCTAAAAAAGATCAGACTATTTACATACTTGAGATGACAAAGGCCTCACTAACAAAATCCACATCCCATAAGCCATGGGAAGCTGTCAGATATGGTGACAAACTGTCTACACACATCCTAGTCTTCAAAGCCCTTGCCCTCTTACACCCTTGACTGTCTTCTTCCTGTCGATTTTTGGAACTCTTTTTATATTAAACCAGAGGCTCAGTGCACGAAATCACGTGACAGCCAAACCCACCGTGCTGTGAGACCCATCAATGCACCTCCTGGTGACTGATCATTTGGTCATTATGGCATTATGGCCACTGGCCTTTTATAATAGAGATAACTTAATCCTTTCAGTGGCTTTCATTGAATTTCAATGTTTCAAATATTCCCCAGTGGTTTTTGTGTGTGTGTGTGTGTGTTTTTTTTTTGTTAATCCTCACCTGAGGGTATTTTCCCCATTACTTTTCAGAGAGAGAAGGGAAGAAGGGAAAGGGTGGGAGAGAGAGAAAGTGTGAGAGAGAGCAATGGATGTGAGAGAGACACATCCACTGGTTGCCTTCCACATGGCATGTGCAACCAGGTACGTGCCCTGGACCAGGAATCAAACCTGTGACCATTTGGTGTGTGGGGCGATGCTCTAACCACTGAACAAAACCAGGGCCCCAGTGTTTTTGTCTTTTCTAAGAAGACAGAACAGTGGAGTAAGAAGCACAAGCTTTGTAGTCAGGCAAAACAGGATTCTGTTTTTGGTTTTGCCACTGGGGCCTTAAGTTGATCTCCATCTATGGAAGAAGACAGTACTATGGTCCTCACAGGATTGTGGAGATTGAATCAGATAATACATGGAAAACTTTCCATCTATGCTTGACATAAACCAGTGCTAAGCCTGGTAATGGTGTCACAGACAAGGTGATTTCTGCCTGTGGTATTAGACGCAGAAAGCTCTTTCCCGACACCAGGTTATAAAAATATTGCTCCTAGCCCTGGCTGATGTGGCTCAGTTGGACATTATCCCATGCATTGGGAGGCTGCTGGTCCAATCCAGCCAGTATGCCTCAGTGGTTGAGCGCTGATCTATAAACCAGGAGGTCATTGTTCGATTCCCGGTCAGGGCACATGCCTGGGTTGCTGGCTCAATTCCCAGTAAGGGTATGCAGGAGGTAGCTGTTTTTCCCTCTCCTCCCCTCCTCTCTCACTAAAAATCAATAAAAATATTTAAAAAATAAAAATAAGCCCTGGCCAGTGTTTCTCACTGGTTAAAGAGTCAGCCCTCCCACCAAAGGGTTGCAGGTTCAATCCCCAGTCAAGGTCACGTACCTGCATGGCCCGGTGGAAGCTCCTGCAGGAGGCAACCAATAGATGTGTCTTTCACACCTCTCTCTCTCTCTTCCCCGTCCTTCTTTCCCTACTTCTCTCTCTAAAAGAAAGCAATGGAAAGCAATGGGTGAAGATTTTTTTAAAATAATAAAATAAATTAAAATATTGCCTTTTATTTTCTTCTAGTACTTTTATGGGTGTGTTTTTTTTGCATTTATGTAAATATGTTTGTTTGAGGTGAGAAACAGAGATCTGTTGTTATTTTCCCCTCAAATACTAGATAGGTAGCTTTTCCATTACCATTTCTTCATTTTTCTTCCACAGACTATAATACTAAAAGGTGACATTTCAGAAGTCTTAGGAACACACAGGTCTGTCTATTGCTACACTCTGTATGCTACTTCAAACAAATATTAGGTTGCATTACTCCTCATTGTAGAATTGCCCCATCTTTCTTCCTTTGAACACCATTACTATCCACTACAAAACATGACATGCTCAAAAAGTTTATCATCTAAGTAGGAAGAGAAAATAATGAAACAACATAAGTAAATACAAATCCAAGGATAAACCACACAGAAATTAAATGCAGTATAGGAGTTTGTAGAAATTCCAAAAAAAAGCAAAAGGCTATATGCCACCTGGAGATGTAGAGGGTACTGTCTAGGCAATGGCCAATTACTTTCTTTCCAGAGGTCTTGGCAAGTTGACCCCAAGCTACTCCCCAGGCTGCTAGGCTCAGAAATAAGACTCTCTTCACCAAGAGAAAACTCACTTCTTCCTATCGTGGAAGTCTCAATTTATCAACACTGCAGGATTAATAAAAAATCAGAATGCCAGATTATGACCTGACAGTGAGAACTGCATCTGTTCCACAGCATCTGTGCTTCTACATGATCAGGGAAACACATTCTGTAGAGATAGGCCACCATGGCACACTAAAGCACAATCAGAGAACAGAATAAGAACAAAAGGAGCCCTAGCTGGTGTGGCTCAGTGGATAGAGCATCAGGCCTGCGGACTGAAGGGTCCGGGTTTGATTCTGGTCAAGGGCACATGCCTGGGTTGCAGGCTCAATCCCCAGGAGGGGGCGTGCAGGAGGCAGACGATCAATGATTCTTATCATTGATGTTTCTAGCTCTCTCCCCCCTCTCCCTTCCTCTCTGAAATCAATAAAAATATATTTTTAAAAAAGAACAAAAGAAATCAGCCAAATCCAATGTTTAATGAAAAGGACTGAATAAGCCAAATCCATTCAACTCCCAGACAGGCACAGCCAGGCTAGTGGGCCTGACTCTCCACATATGCTGCCAGAGATGACATCTCTACCCTTAGGAAATGTTAGGATGGACAATGCTCATGTTGGTCTCTTCTTCACCTATTCTCTGCTTTTACTACTGACCAATCCTCCTGCAGATAGACATTATTTCTCTTTAGCAGTTAATGCATCTCATCAGGTTTTACTCCAGTCTGATAGACCAGGAAGCCATTTGGTCCTTACACATCACGGCTCTGCTCCATGATGTGTTGACCTTGGTATTTCTCTCTGGGAGAGCCACCTTTTAAAAAATTGCTTACCACATTTTTAAGTTCTCAGGGGAGGGGAATGACTTACTATTGTCCCTCCCCCACACAAAATGGTACCAATTTCACAAAAGGACTAGGACCAGGAGGGCTGGAGTTCTCAAGGAAGGCTTCATGAGGACAGATGAACTTGAGCTGGCTTTTGAGAGAGTCACAGGATTTCCCCAGGCAGAGCAAAATAAGGGAATTTTAGATGGGCAAAGGCCCCCAAAAATGTGGGAATGGGCCTGGTGTGGCTAGGTTATGGTGAGGGGTGGCTTTGGCTGGAATGGAGGGCTGCCATGACTGTTGAAAGAGTAAATAAAATATATTATGTTGGATTTATGGAGTAGAGTCAAGATTGTCAGCTTATTAAATCACTCTTTTAATGTCAGCAATCTGCCTGTAGGGAAAGTACACCATTATGTAATTGAACAAAAGGGACACAGACAAGCTCTGGGAACAGGTGACTCTAACATGTCATGCTTTAGAGAAGCCTGATGCAGGATTTAGGCTGCAGTGTTTTAACTGAATCTACTTACACCGTGCCTTACACACTGGAGAAGAAAGCTGCTAAGTAAACTTTAAGAATTGACAAGATCACAATTTTATCATTTTTGCCATGTCCTGTCTGCTAGGGTGGCATAGCTCCACGAGGGTGGTGATTCTACATCTCTTCTCATTTCAGCCAACAAGGAAATAAATCAATGGAGAAAGAGAGTAATGAGTGCATCACTCGACATCGTTCATTTTGAGTTGAAGAAATTTTGCTATCATGTCAATTCTGACCTATCAAACTTAAGTTTCAAAATAGTCTAGTGACTTACCTTGATTTCAATTCCAGAGAGATCTCTGGGAATGGGATTCATTTTAAAATCCATGGAATATAAATTTGTAATAAAAGAACAAATCATATCTCAGTGCTCATGAATAAAGAGGAGTATCTAGTAGGAGTAGGTGGGACAGTGGCTTTGATTTTCAGGTTGTGGGTTCTGAACCTCCTCTAAAAACAGAAAATATATTGGAAATCTGAATTAACTGTTGTCTTACCGCAATGAGACAGAAAACTACGAAATAAAAAGCTACTACTGCAATCACAGGTGATGCTATGATGACTTTGTTGTAGTTCTTATATCCTGGCACTTCATTTCTGAACTGGAAAAAAAAAAGAACATTAAAAAAACCCCACCAAAACACCAAAGAGACAGATGGGATAAAAAAAAATAACTATTAGCTAGCCTATTCTAGAGAATAGCTAACTATTTGTAACTATTATTCTAAAATCCCACTCTTCCAGGTAAATAGCTAACGTATAGGTTCTTCAAGAACATACCAAATCTAATGTGTTATGTAATCTGAGAATCAGCATTTTCTTGTACAATTTACTTATTTTGGGTGTTAGGTCCTCTTCTCCTCTACCCTAGAACAGGGGTACAATTCCTAAATGAGCAAAATGAGAGATCACTATTTTCGCCAAAGTCACATGGTCAAGACAAAATTCAGATGAGGTGCCCCTAGTCTTCTTGCCTGAGTACTTTCATGGCATGTCCTAAACTGACTAAAAGCCCGGTTCCGTGTTTCAGGAGCTGTCCTCACCTCATTTGACTCCTCCTCTTCCTGTTCCCCCGGGGCTTCCATCCTCTCATTTTTCCATTGTTCTGTATCCAACTCTTCCTTGGAAACCTTTACTTCCTGCTGCTCATCAAGCAATTTCATCAGGAGGCCTGTTCCAGAAAATAGAGTTTCCTCAATTTATTTTTGAAACTTGAATTGTATAATTCAGGTTTAAGGGAAGGGTTCCGTCTGTTGTTTATCAAATGACTCAGGGGCATATCTGCATTGTGTACATTTGAAAAGGGGAGTTTAATGAATGGTAATAACATTGATTCTGTATCTTCTAGATATTTTTCCAAGAATAAGGCTGCCAGGTCAGTGTGCTCAGTGGTGAGCATTCACCTATGAACCAGGAGGTCACAGTTCGATTCCCAGTTAGGGCACATACCTAGGATGCAGGCTCCATCCCCAGTGAGGAGCGTGGAGGAGGCAGCTGATCAATTATTCTCTCTCATCATTGTTGTTTCTATCTCTCTCCCTCTCCCTTCCTCTCGAAGTCAATAAAAATTTATTTTCAAGAAAGAAATAAGGCAATATGTAATTCAGTGCACTAATAATATCATTTTTTTTATCATTAAAGTCTAGCTGCTCACTCATGAAGGCTGACAAAGTCTCGCTATTTTTCTTTGGGGCTGTCCTCTCTGGCTCAATTGTCAGCTCACTGCTGTTGTAGTTTTTCCGGTCTTCTAATATTTTCATGAATGGTCGTTCTGTAAGTACTTGTTCATCTGTCAAAAAAGATACCACATTTGATATTGAAAGACTCATGGGACAGCTATTTGTCAGTCCATAGCCATACATCCCAGTCCATTACATAGGGAATCAGCAAGTATTTGAGTGCCATTTAGAGAGGAGAAAAATAAACCCCAACTTAAACCTATGATTTTTGACACAACAAAAGGAGAAAATGCATCTTTTTAAAAAGTGGTTACTTAGAACATTCCATAGCATGACATATGGTGACTATATTTAGGATTATACCATTGGTCCCCAAGGGCCAACAGCCAGTTACTGGAGGAAAGCCAGGGCTGGAAGACCCACTCAGTTAGACGCTCTACAGATCTACTGTGAACTCCTCACATTCACGCCCCCATCCTGTCCTGCTTCAGATGCATAGGGGGCCTGAGCCTGCCTCTCTCCACTCTTCAGGATGCTTGTGTTCTTGCTACCATCACAGATGCCCACGATTAACCCCCACTGCTAACATGTCCTCATCTGGACACACCCTTCTCCACTACCTCACCGATTCTTCACTTGGGCCCTGCCTCCACATATGCCAGCCCCATAACAGACGGCTCTATACAGAAAAAACAGTATGTCTACCCTCGCTCTGTGCTTAAGATTTAGGCAGGCATCTGGGATGTACATTAAGAGACTTGCCAGGTTGTGTACCACTGTGGAATGTTCAATAAATCTATGGAATAATACTTGGGGTTCTAAAATACATAAGGTAAAAAATAACTTTTGTCAGATGCCTACTTTGCTAACATTTCATGTCATTTCTTATATTTTCAGCTGTACTTGGGGAACCATCAAAAGCTTCTGATTGTGTGAAACTCAAGTGCACCATTGTGCAGCTGGTACACAAGAATTTTCAGAAGAATTAAAAGTATTGCTGGTGGTGATAAGGGTGAGAGAAGGAGGTAACGTCCTGGGAAAGAGGAGCATAGGCTTACGGAGAGCCCAAAACTGGGAGCTCTAGGTGACAGCTCTTAGCCCTTTCTGGTCTTGTTTTTACTCACCTTAAAAGGAGATTAAAATGGCTAATCTGCCCACTGTTGGGGCAGAAGGGAGTAATATAATTGGTCAAAACATTGTTCTGAAAAATAAGCAACACTGACTTTATGTAAGTAGCACAGCAGTATTATTTATGATGTGCCCCAGATCACTGACAAAAACCCATATTCAAGTTATCTGGGCATGAAATATCTTTTGGAAGTTATCAAGTAGCTGCCAATAAACCTAATGTGGAGAAAAATACTTAAAAGCACAGGACTGTTTGGTGGATAGAAAACCTTGTGCTTCAGAACAAGTTCAGAGTTGGACAGTCTAAGAAAGAGCCCTCCCATGCCTTAGAAGGGCTGGGTAGCAGCTTCTGGTGATGGATCCAAAAACTCTCAGGTTCCAAATAAAACTTACATAAATCAGCATCATTTGTATTCTTTTCATAAACTTGCAAAAACAAAATAAAAATGTATCTATATCTGTGTACACTGCAAAGGGCAATTGAAACCTAATGCACACAAAAGAATTTACAAACTGTGACACACTAATGAACAAGTTCTCATTTGGAAGTAAAGCACCCAGCAGAGAGCACAACACACACGATGTGGCCATTAATGGAAATACCCTTCCCTTCATCAGACTCTTAGCAAGGAGTAGTTCTTAAAATTTTGGAGTTGAACTCTGAGTAAATGAATAGAAATAATGCAGTTACCTCATTTGCTTACAAACTTATCATCATTGATTACAAATGAAAACAAAATAAAAATTAAAAAATTTATCATGGGTAATTCAGACTCACCACAATGTGTTTTTACCAGACACTCATTGTCACAATGCAGTTTGATTGACTTGGCAACAGCCTCAATACTATTTTTAAAGTGGCAGAGGCAGCAGGCCAAACGGCTAGGTAAGATCCTATAAATGGAAACACAAAGAATTAAATTAGTGGCAAAGGAATTACCTGAATAGGTAGAAGAGGTAGGCCAAGGCTACCACAGGGTTGGGCAAAAAAGAATTGTTGGGGCATTATCTCCTGAAGAGTTTTATAGGGATCAGTTGGCCATTTGCTATTTATGAATATTGTAAATAAATAGAAAGGAGGAAAGAAGTGCTCAACAGAAGGGTAAGAATGGCAATGGGTATGGGATGCCTAGAATAAATGTGATAGAGATTATAACTGGGTGACACTGATCTGTAGTTTAATTCAGATGTATCTCCTTCTCCCAACCACAAAGAATAATGTTAATAAAATATAAAGTAATTATTTTAAAGAAGAGCCCATGAGTTCACAATGATACTCAAAAAGAAAAGAGAGAAGCTATTATTTATAGAATAATGCCAGCTAAAAAATGGAGAAAGAATAGTCTTTTCAATGAACGGTGCTGGGACAATTGGATATCTCCATGTAAGAAAAGTGAACTTCAACCCAAACCATATACAGAAATGGACTTAAATTGGTTGAAAGATCTAAATGTAAAACCTTGAACTATAGAACTTCTACAAGAAAACATATAAGAAAATCTTTATAACCTTGAATTGGGCAAGATTTCTTAGATACAATACCAAAAGCAGAATCTATAAAAAACAAAAAAGGGATTAATTGAACATTATCGAAATTAAGAATTTCTGCCCCACAAAGAACACTCTTGGAAGAATGAAGAGACAAGCCACAGAATGGGAGCAAATACTTACCAATTGACATATTTAACATAGGACTTGTTTCCAGAATATGTAAATAACCCAAACTCAATGTAAAATAGATAAATGATTCAAAGATATACAGATGGCAAATAAACATATGAAAATATATTTTACATTATTAAACATTAGGGAAATGCAAATTAGACCTACACTGAGATACCACTACACACCTATTAAACTATATAAAATTAAACAGAATGGCCATACCAGATATTGGCAAACATGTGAAGAAAATGAAATTCTCATACAATGGTGGGAATGTAAAATCTACAACCATTTTGGAAAATAGTTTTTTTAAAACTTAAACATACACCTACCTTTTGTTCCAGTCATTTCACTTCCAGGTATTTATCAGGAGAAATAAAAGTATATTTCCATAAAAAGACTTGCACATAAATATTCATAATAGCTTTATTTGTAATAGTAAAAAAATTGGAACAACTCAAATAGCCATCAATACTGATACATCAGTTGAAAAATACTGATATATCCATATATAATAAAATACTTTTCAGCAATAAAAAGAAATGAATTATCTATACACATAACAACATGAATGAATCTTAAAATAATCATCTGAGTAAAGGAAGCCAGTTAGAAAAGAGTAGATACAGTATGATTCCATTTATATAAAATTCTAGAAAATACAAACTAACCTATAGCAACAGAAAGCAGACCGATGCTTGCACAAGAATTGGGGATGGTAAGGAGGAATGGAAGGAAAAATTACGAAGAGACATGATGAAAATTTCTGAGGTTATAGACAGTTTGATTTTGGTGATGGTTTTGTGGTATATGAATATATATTGGTTGAAAGACCTAAATGTAAAACCTATTACTATGAAACTTCTACAAGAAAACATATGAGTGTATATAAACACAATATATATTTATAAACAAAATTATTATGTCGATTATACCTCAAAAAGTTGTTAGAAGTAAATGATGTAGACAACTGGGAAAATTGGAATTTCAACTCTTTATTATGTAATATTATAGTGTAGGAATTTAATTTCTTCAGTGCATTAATAGTATTATAGTTCTACAGAGCAATGATTTTGAATATCCTAGAGGAAGTCATCTAACTGACAAGGGAAGGATTGACTGTGGCAGATGCTGTGGGAGAACTGAGGAATATGAGGTTAGACAATCACCAACAGATACAACAGTGTGCAGATGGCGGTCATCTGTAGGCTGGCCTGTCAGACGCAGTTGGAGCACACTGGTAATAGCAGAGCCCTTTCCTATACTAATTTCATGTAACCTTCTCAACTACCCTTAGCATAACAGCAAGTTTCTATTAGCCTGCCATATTGGGACGGGTAGCACAATTTAAGATGCAATAAGTTCTATAATAAACTGTCACAATAGGGGTCCACAGAAATATTTTTTTAAAACAAAAACCAAACAAAAAAAAAAAACCTCTGACCCTTACTTTACACCATATAGAAAACTTTCTCAAAATGGATCATAGACCTAAACATAACTAGACAACATCTGGAAGAAAACATAGAAGAAAATCTATGTGATTTTGGATTAGACCACTGATTCCCAAAGTGGGCGCTACCGCGCCCTGGTGGGCGCTGCAGCGATCCAGGGGGGCGGTGATGGCCACAGGTGCATTTGTTTTAACTTTTTTTGTATTACCTTTCTATTCTGAGTTCAATAAATAGTTTCATAATTTCAAACTTCAATGTTTCTAATTTACACCTTTCTTTACTATATTTTACGAAAAAGGTAGAAACATTAATACATATATCTTTCTGTTTAATTGCTATTAAAATTTTAAAAAAATTAATTTCCAGGGGGCGCTGAGTAATATTTTTTCTGGAAAGGGGGCGGTAGGCCAAATAAGTTTGGGAACCACTGGATTAGACAATGGGTTCTTACACAAAAAAATTCTTAGATAAGAACAAAAAAGCACAAACCAAATAAGAAAAACATTGCTGAATTAGAGTTTGATGAATTCGAGTTCCTCAAAATTTAATTTTCCAGGGCAGACAGCATGGCATGCCTGCCCGTGAATCCCTGGCAGAAGTGGCCTCGGAGCTGGGCAGTGCCACACTCCCACCGGGGGCCTTACTCCCAGGGCAGGAAGGCTCCCAGGGCAGGCGGTGCAGCGCCTGCCCACGAAACCCCGGTGGGAGTGGCCTTGGAACTGGGCGGTGCCGGGGTTAGGGGCGGGTTCCGAGCCACGCAGCAGCCACTTGGAGCCCACCCCTAACCCTGGTGTGTGGTGTGTGTCCGCTGGGGCTGGGGGCATGCTCTGAGCTGGTCGTGATGTCCTGGCCTAATTTGCATATCTCTCTCTTATTATATAGGATTCCTACTAGAAAGGCTAATTAAAAAAACATCCTATATAATAAAAGGCTAATATGCAAATCAACTGAATGGCGGAATGACGGGTCGCTATGACACACACTGACCACGAGGGGGCAGACACTCAATGCAGGAGCTGCCTCCTGGTGATCAGTGCGCTCCCACAGGGGGAGTGTTGCTCAGCTAAAAGCCCTGAGCTGGGTTCACAACTGGCGAGCGCAGCGGCAGTGACGGGAGCCTCTCCTGCCTCCATGGCAGCGCTAAGGATGTCTGACTGATGGCTTAGGCTTACTGCGAAAGCGCACAGTTTGGGCTGAGGGACCCCCCCACCCCGTGCATGAATTTCGTGCACTGGGCCTCTAAGAGAAATATATAGGTCAGGTGAAAATGTGAAGCAATTGCAGCTCTCATCTACTGCTGGTGGTAAGGCAAGATGGTACAACCACTTTAGAACACAGTTTAGCAGTTTCTTAACTAATTAAATATGTACTCAGCATATGATGCAGCAACCCCACAGTAGGTATTTTACCCCAAAGTAATGAAAATGTATTTTTACACAAAGACCTGTATGTGAGTGTTTTTATTTTTAATCGGGTTCCCTCCAATGTGATTAATACACTTGTGCTCTAGTTTTTAAAATATATACATATGTATGTGTATATATATATATTATTTCAGAGAGGAAGAGGGAGATAGAAACATCAATGATGAGATAGAACCATTGGCCAGCTGCCTGTTGCAAGTCCACAGCCTACGCATGTGCCTTGACTGGGAATTGAACCATGACCCACTGACCCATAAGTTGACTCTCAACTGTTGAGTCACTCACAGCTGGGCCATGTGAGTGTTTTTAGCAGCTTTATTCTTAAAAACCAAAAAACTAGGAACAACTCAAATATCCATTAACTGATGACTGCATAAACAAACTGGTGTATACACACAATTAGAATACTATGCAGCAATAAAAAGTAAAGTGCTACTAATAGATGCAGCAACATGTATACATTTATTTTAAAAAGGGGGTTATGCTACATGAAAGAAGCCAAATACAAAAGGCTACACCAGTGGTTCTCAACCTTCCTAATGCCACGACACTTTAATACAGTTCCTCATGTTGTGGTGACCCCCAACCAAAAATTTATTTTCGTTGCTACTTCATTACTGTAATTTTGCTACTGTTATGAATCGTAATGTAAATATGCAGGATGTATTTTCATTGTTACAAATTGAACATAATTAAAACATAGTGATTAATCATAAAAACAATATGTAATTATATGTGTTTTCCGATGGTCTTAGGAGACCCCTATGAAAGGGTCGTTCGACCCCCAAAGGGGTCGCAACCCACAGGTTGAGAACTGCTGGGCTACACTCTACATGATTTCATTTGTAAGACATCCTGGAAAAGGCAAGGCTATAATGACAAAAATCAGATTGGTGCTCACCAGGGGCTGGTGGTGGGAGGAAGAATTGACTGCAAAGAAATATGAGGAGCCTTTATGGGATGACAAAAGTGTTCTGTATCTCTAATGTGATGGTGGTACATTGATCAAAACTACACAGTTGCCAAAACTCACTAAACTGTACACTTTAAAAGTGATTTTTTATTTTTGTTAATCCTCACCCGAGGATATTTTTTCCACTGATTTTTTTTTTTCTCTGAGAAAGTGGAAGGGAGGGAAGGTGGGGAGAGGGGAGAGAGAGAGAGAGAAACATTGATATGAGAAAAGCACATTGATTGGTTGCCTTCTGCAGGCACCCAACCAGGGCCAGGGATCAAACCTGCAACCCAGGTACATGCTCTGGACTGGATATTAAATCTGAGACCCTTCAGTGTGGGGGCCAATGCTCTTACCATTAAAAAACACTGGCCAGAGTTAAAAGAGTGAATTTTATTTAATAAAAATTATACCTCAATAAACCTGACTTACGAAAATAATAAAGCAAACCTAAAATAGTAACTAAGTGAAAATAAGTAAAAGAAAAACCAACTTACAGTTTTTCCAGTGTAAGGGTCATCTTGAGGATGTTATCAACTGTTGTAAATGACACTTGGGTTGCTCCCATGTCTCTGAAGGAGAAGGACCAAACATGCATGATATGAACTCAAAGACAACAATTCTATATCTACTTCAATTCTGGCTTCTCTGTCAAGCCAACTCAAGAATTTATTTGCCATAGGTGATATTTTCTGAGAGCTCTTCTTGAAGAAATTTAAATTTATTTGCATCATCAAATTAATTACTTTGGTGAACAGTACAATCTGTGTTTATTCTTTTTACCATTATCCTATTTGTCTTTCTCAATTGCAACCACAACTTGATTATTCTTTTTAAAATATATATGTAATGTACAACTTATTCCTTTTTTCTTTCTGAGATCAATGGTACTTCTACATGCATCTGCATGTTTCATGTCTGAATGTGTTGTTCAACACTGCTCCCTTCCTCTCCTGGCTGTGTTGCTCTTGTACAGTCTTTATCATTTTTCTGTGCTAATAGTCATTTTCAATAACCTAGTTAAAATTTAAATTATGACTTTTTAATCAAAATGCAAAATATTTAATCTTGGATGAAAGTAAGAAAGAGCAGAAATCATCTCATGAGCCACGAAATTGTTGCAATACTTACAAATATTTCAATGCTGGCAAGTTAAAAAGATAAGGATCTTGAACGGTTGTCAGAGGGTTACGATTGAGGATTCTGAAAAATGCAATAGAATTAAAACTGTCTGCGTTTTCAGTAAGTGCCATGAAAGCTTATATTCATTTTGTTGGTACAAAACTTGAAGGTTAAAGAAATCATTTTCTGTCTTTACCTTTAGATTACCCTTAAGAATCCCTAAAGCATACTTTTTTGGGGAACTACCCAGGTCTCTAAATGACAAAATGGAGAAGAACATGTAAAAAATAGGGAAAAAGTGAATAGCAAATAAAAAAGTATGCCAAAGAATTTATCAGATTGAAAACTCTATTAATGCCCGGCTGGTGTGATTCAGTGGTTGAGCGTTGACCTATGAAACAGGAGGTAATGGTTCGATTCCCAGGTCAGGGCACAATCCCGGGGTTGCGGGTTTGATCCCCAGTAGGGGGCGTGCAAGAGGCAGCCAATCAATGATTCTTTCTCATCATTTATGTTTCTATTTCTCCCTCTCCCTTCCTCTCTGAAATCAATAAAAATATATTTTAAAAAAGAGAAAAAAAAACCCTATTAGTGACTATGCTGATAGGAAGCTCCTACTCTACAGAAATTACTATTTCTAGTGTCCTCCATAATTCAAGGTGCTTTTCTTTCATCTCCAGAAAATTTTAAAAATCCAATTTAAACCACCCAGTTAAAGAGAAAAATAGGACTAACTCCTTGGTTTTGGAGCCAAAAAGAGGATAAATCTAAGAGGAACTGGTGAAAGCCATGCTCCTATCACATACTTCTATGTGTATTTTTATATCACAGGCTTTGTTACATTGTATGTAAATCACCTGTTTACTTGTCAATTTCTTGGACTGTTAGTGCCTGACATTTACTAGGTATTTATTTATTATTTTTTAAAATATATTTTATTGATTTTTTACAGAGAGGAAGGGCGAGGATAGACAGTTAGAAACATCAATGAGAGAGAAACATCGATTAGCTGCCTCCTGCACACCCCCAACTGGGATATGCCTGCAACCAAGGTACATGCCCTTGACTGAAATCAAACCTGGGACCCTTCAGTCCGCAGGCCGATGCTCTATCCACTGAGCCAAACAGGCCAGGGCACATTTACTAGGTATTTAATAGATGTTCGTTTAATAAATAAATAACACTTTGATTATATATCAATAAAAATGAACAAATTTGTTAATTGACACAAATTTTTATTCCCAATGCTGAAATAAATGTTCTTCTCAATTCTATAAAACATACAAGTAAAACAAGACAAACAAAAAACAAGAAGAAAAGAAAATCTGTCTTTAGGTTAACTACTCTAAAGTCATTAGTATACTTTTGCAGACTATTATAAAGATGATTATTACAGCTAATATCTATTAGGCTACTGGGCATCTGTAATGAACATTTCATATTTAATCCTAACAATAACTTTATTGATATATATTATTACCCTGTTTTACAAATGAGGAAGCTGAGGCACAGTGAGGTTATATAAGTTGTCCTAGGTTGTCAAGCTAGTAAAAAGCAGAGCTGGAATTTGAACTCAGTTCTGACCTTAAAACCCATGTTTAAGCCCCATTAAGAAGAGGGGTTTTAAAATAGCTGCTACTTTAACCTTAATTCTGAGACCACTAGATATAGAAATCCCTTTTCAAATTTCATGTACCCACCTGGGACAGCCTCTATGAGAATTACATTCTTTTTCTTTTTATTCCTGTTTCCTAATGATCAGCCATGATTAAATATTTAACTAGCTTAGAGTCATTGAGACTTTAGAAATTTAAAACCATGTTGTAGGCAAATCAGTGAAAACAGTGAAGTAAGTCATCCCTAAAAAACAACTGGCAAAAAATGGTCAGAATCAACTTTTTCAAACTGTAAATTTAGCCATCAGGCTTGGAGGAATCCAGGGAACATTTAGTCAAGAGAAATTATTGCTTTCTGTAAGAACAGTGATCTGTGTTGCTTTAACTCATCCTAGAGCTTTGCTCTCCATCCCTGGGGTAACCTTGAAAAACAGCCCACAGCCCCAGTACCACAGAAAGCAGAATGGAATGAAATCATATTCCCAAAGAACTGTCGTTTTACCTATCTGGTGGTTCCCTGGAAGACCACACTTTAAAGGCTTGTTTTTGACCTGAGAGCTGCCTAGCCCCTAAAGCCTCTGTCCTCAGAGGGTATTTTGTGAAAACCATTTCATGTAAATGTTTTAACATGGCAGCTGCTGAGGCAATGGATAAAAGTTGGTGTAAAAAATAGGCTGACAACAAAAGTTAAAAGGAAAAGCTGAGAAATAAGATGTCTACAGAGACTCTGAAGTGCTCCAACATATGCCCGGGAAACTGAAAGACCATGAGACATATTCCTGGGAATCTAAAAAATAAAAAACTATTACCGCTAGCCTGGCCAGTGTAGCTCAGTGGTTGAGCATCGACCTACGAAGCAGGAGTCACGGTTCAATTCCTGGTCAAGACACATGACTAGGTTGCAGGCTTGATCCCCAGTGTGGGAGATGTAGGAAGCAGCAGATGAATAATTCTCTCTTATCACTGATGTTTTTTCTATCTATCTTTCTCCCTCTCCCTTCCTCTCTGAAATCAATAAAAATATATTTTAAGAAAACAAACTATTACTGCTAATACATTCAGGGGTACAAGACCGCTGAAGGTTGCAGGATATAAGACCAATATGAAAAAATTAGCTGTATTTCTATACACATTGAGCAATGAGTAATCCAAAAATGAAATTAAGAAAATAATCTTATATAATAAAAGCCTAATATGCAAAGTGTCGTGTCGACCAGTCGGCCATTCAACCAATCAAAGCATTCAACCAATCTGAGCATATGCTAATGATATGCTAAAGCCACTCAACCACTCACTATGACGTACACTGACCACCAGGGAGCAGACGCTCGCTCACACTGGTAGGTTAGCTTGTTGCTGGGGTCTGGCTGATCGGGACTGAGCAAGAAGGGCTGACACGCCCTGGAACCCTCCCATGGTCACTCTCCAGCTGGCCAACCTTCTGTGTCTCTCCCCGGATCCGATCGTGCACCTGTGGGGTTCCTTGGCCTGGCCTGCACCCTCTTGCAATCTGGGACCCCTTGGGGGATGTCTGAGAGCCGGTTTTGCCCCGATCCCACAGGCCAGGCCAAGGGATCCCACCAGTGCATGAATTTGTGCACCGGGCCTCTTGTTTCATCTATAATAGCATCAGAAAGAATGAAATACTTAGTAAAAAATTTAACCAAACTTCATGACTCTTATACTAAAAACTAAACCAACATTGCTTAAAAAAATTAAGATGTAAATAAATAGAAAGACATGCTGTGTTCATGGATTAGAAGATGATACTGTTAAAATGGCCCTACTCCCCAAATTGATCTATGGTTTCAATGCAACCCCTGTCAAAATCCCAAATGACTTTTCAAAAATGTACAAGCTAATTCTAAAATCATGTGGCAATTCAAAGGACAGAGAAAGCCAAAACAATCTTGATAAAGAACAACATGGGAGGACTCATAGGTCCTGGATTCAAAACCCAATTCAAAGCCACAGCAGTCACAGTGTGGTACGGCCTAAGGCTAGACATATAAATCAATGGAACAAATTGACAATCCAGAAATAAACCCTCACATGTATTGTCTATTTTCAACAAGGATGCCAAAACAATTCGATGTGCAAAGAATCGTCTTTTTAAATGGGGCTGAGACAACTGTATATCCACATGCAAAATAATAAAGTTGGATTCTACCTATACTTCACACCATATATAAAAATTAACTCAAAATGAATCAAATACCTAAGTGTAAGAGTTAAAGCTGTACAACTCTTAGAAGAAAGCAAGGAGTAAATCTCTATGACCTTATATTAGCCCAATGGTTTCTTAGATATGATACTAAAGGCACAAACTGAAGAAAAAATAGATAAATTAGACTTTATAAAACTGAAGACTTCCAGGCCTCAAAGGACACTATCAAGAAAATGAAAAGAGAACTCATAGAATGGGAGAAAATATTTTCAAATTATATATTTGATAAAGTCCTACATCCAGAATATATAAAGATCTCTTACAACTCAATAAAAAGTAAATAACCAAATTTTAAAATGGGCAAAAGATTTAAAAACATTTCTCCAAAAGAGATATAATGGCCAATAAGCACATGGAAAGGTGCTCAATGTCTTAAGTCATTAGGGAAATACAGATCAAAGCCACTATTAGATACGACTTTACATTCACTAAGATGGCTATAACCAAGCAGATAGACAATAATAAATGCTGGCAAGGATATGGAGGAATTGGAATCCTTATACATTGTTGGTGAGAATGCAAAATAGTGAAGCCACTATGGGAAACAGTTGGGCAGTTCCTCAAAAAAGTTAAACATGGCCCTAACTGGTTTGGCTCAGTGGATGGAGTGTCGGCCCGGGGGTCCGAGGTTCAATTCCAGTCAAGGGCATGTACCCTTGTTGCAGGCACAACCCCAATAGGGGGTGTGGAGGTAGCTGATCGATGTTTCTCTCTCATCAATGTTTCTAACTATCCCTCTCCCTTCCTCTCTGTAAAAAAATCAATAAAATATATTTTGAAAAAAAGTTAAACATAGAGTTGCTATATGACCCAGAAATTTCACTCCTATGTATGCACCCAAGAGAATTAAAAACATATATCCAGCCCTAGCTGGGGTGATCAGTGGTTAGAGCATCAGCCTGGGGACTGAAGGGTTCTGGGTTCGATTCTGATCAAGGGCACATGCCCAGGTTGTGGGCTCAATTCCCAGTTGGTGGCATGCAGGAGGCAGCCAATCAATGATTCTCTCTCATCATTGATATTTCTCTCTTTCTCCCTTTCCCTTCCTCTCTGAAATCAATAAAAAACATATATCCATACAAACACTTGTATGTGAATGTTCATAGTAGCATTAGTCATAGTAGCTAAATAAAAAGAATAGAAAATTAGTTGCAAAACTCATAAGGGTTCTACCCCTTATTAACAGTGTGAAACTAGGCAAGTTATCCAAAGTCTCTAAGTTTCAATGGGGATAATATCTACATCACAAGAATTGTTTTGGGAAAATGAGAATGAGATATAGTGTGAGCTAACTTGTAATGAGCATTTACCATGTACCAAGCACTATTCTAAGAGCTTTAGGCACACTATCTTATTTGTACAGTAATGAAAGTACTAAGTGTAGTGCCTGAAACATAATAAGCTCCTAATAAAGGCAGGTGTCAAAGAAACATTATGGGCAGCGGAAGAATTACTCTGCTTTTGAGAGAAAGAAGACACCTTGCTATACAGATGGGAAGAATAAGATGCAGTTGGAAGAAGAAAAGTCTCATCATAGCTGCTGGGTATGACAATCTCAAAACTTTTGAACCATTACAAATAAAACCACCACCCTAAGTCATCCTAAATGATAGTTATTTTTATCTTTAGTGCTTATGCCTTCTAGAATCTAAAAAGGAGCTGCCAGGATTTCAGTACCTAACAAAACCTGATGACAATACACATAGTATCTTGTATGCTCACAGGTATCTAAAGGGAACCAATCAATGCTAGTTGAACAGGGAGCATTAGGGTGTCTATGTGACCACAGCTCAATTTGCCTTCATAGTGTGGACTGACATACCTCACTGATATTCTCAACAGTGGGGGAAATATTTCAATAGGGATAAGGCTTGGATTTTCCTTTTTCTCTCTTACTGATGATGTTCGTGGCACGATATTAATGAAACACAGACACGCAGCATGTGAATGGGCTCCATCTGGATAAGCTATAGCCTTTCTACATTGTAGAGTATTTTTAGAATAAATGAAGTAAAATAAGTTTTTAAAATAAGCCATCAGTCTGGACCTATGTAGGTGAATGAAGGAGAAGCACTTTAAAGTCAGAAAAAATAAGTAGATTTAACATTTAGGATTATCAACCACTGCTGGTTTTCCATAATATATTTCATTCCTGATTTTATCTGAAAAGAATAGGCTTATGACTACCATTCAAAAAGTGTTACTTTATTAATACACTCAGCATGTCTCTGAGGTGGATTTCAGATCCAAAATGGACTCTTTACCACACTGTTAACTTGTTCTTTCAGTGTCTGTCAATAACAGATTTCACTCAGTAAACTTACTGAAATATAATTACCTGAAAACCAGGGGTGAATCAAGGTTTTGTGGAGACTGAACCTCATCTGTTTTTGGAAATCCTAATAAAAATATGCAAAATTGTGAATATGAAAAGTGACAGGCCCTCCAACTTGCTAGAACTTGGAAGGGACTTATGCAAGTGAAGAACCCTGAAGCTTAAGCTTCATTCAATTCATGATAAATCCATCTCACACTTATTACAAACTTATTTATTGCAGGGGAAAATATTCTTTCAACTTATAAAAACACCAGCAATATATTATATAGATGATAAAATGACTTGGGAAAAGGTGCAATTTAGTTTATATCGCACTATGGCAAATGTTTCCTGAAGCAAGTTAGTTTAGTCCATAAGATTTGGCCCAAAACAAAGGAGCCCAGCCTCCAGCACACACTTATGGTTTCTGACAACTTTTTGAAAGTACTATGAGTTAGTTTTAGAACTATAGCTCTATTCAAATCACAAGATAGGGGTATTAATTTATTTCTAACATCAGCTAGCTCTGATTCTTTCATTAACTTTTCTGTCACTTAAGATGAACCCAGAAACTCAAGATAAACAAATTGGTGCCTACTCTGTTACAAACCTTTTTTGACACATCACCCAGTCCCTGTTTTGTCCCCCTCCTATCTTGTTACCCTGCTATAAAGATGCTGGCAAGGCTCTCGTATGTTTTCCCATCAACATCCACCTTACTCCTTCCAGTATAAATTTCTTGGGGATAAAGTCCCTGTCCAATTCTTCTTTGTACCCCCAGCAATTAGTACATGCTGACACTGTTTCTGAATTTTTTTCAATTGTGATTCCACAATTTTGTTTGTTTCCCCCCCCTGTACTACCTTCATAACTATAGTGAAACTCAGATTCTTATAGGAGACTCTCAGTATTACACAATGCTTAGTAAAGGTGGTGAGTTTTCGACATTGTATTGACGCTACCAAAACCTCTTGGTGTAGGGACGTAATGAGCGTGCTCTCTAATGCATTGACCAAAGGAAAACTGGCTGTCAGTGCTCTTTCCCCAAGTGAGGCATCATCACATTAATGAGAGAAGGTGGAGGCCGCTACAGATGGGCATCTGCAGGAACTGTCGATCCAGCCTGGCACATCCTGAACACCCGCATCTAACCCGTAACGAATTGTGTGAAATTGGATTTCTATACCACAAGACGGTAAGACAGTCTTTTCCAAAGACAAGATTGGAAGACAATATTCATCTTGAGTCTAAAATCCTTTTCAGGCCACTGAACATACCCACTATGATTTGCTTGTGTCACAGAGAAATCACAGAAGTTTCTAGCTGAAAGGGAATAAAACCCACACTTCTTACTGAGTAGTAGTCAGGTAAGAAATTGGAATGAGGCTACAGCTATGTATTTTCTTTATGAATATTTTTTCACACCACAACTTAAACAGCATATTCTCCCTTACTTCAAAGATTCCCATTGCCACAGACAATTCACTTCAGAGGTATAGAGGTTCTGAAAAATAATGTTCTAATTGGGAAGAGCTGTGCCCTGTGGCAGCTTTTAAGGAATTCTTTCTGCTTTACCATTTAAGAGACTCCTGAGGAAGCATCCACATCTCTTGCTCCCTGGAGAACTCTGAGCGAAACTTAATTCTTGCAGTTCTATGTTGCATACATATGAGCAGTTAGGAACTTTGCACATGAGCAGGAATCAAAGTCAAATTCAGAAGTGGAATTTCAAGGACCATTCATATATCGGAGCAGAAGCAATACCGGGATTCCCATGACAGTGATACTTTGAATGTTATGTGCTTGGTGCCTTGTATTGCACATGCCAAAGGTTAGTTCTGGAGAAAGCAGAGCATGCCATATATGAGTTAGACAAGTCTCTTGACCTCTTTGTACCTTAGTTTCCTCATTTGAAAAAAAAAGAAGGGCTCTTAAGCCATACTTTTCAAAAAGAGTTCAAACTGAGCTTATACCCAGCCAACCAATCACTGTATGATGTTTTTACACATAGCTTTTTCATGTGTTCATCTTCTATTTCACTTACAACTTGTGTAAAAACTGCATTCCATGTGAGGCCTGAAATGTTCCAAAGTTCACTTTTGTGATTGAATTGCAACCAAGATTTCTACAAAAGAAAGACACAAGCAAAAGAAGAGAGAAAAATAATTCTTTCAGATCATTTAGCTTTTAGCAGTAATTTTAATTTATATATGATAAAACCACAATTATCCCACTGTACACTAAATAAATCTCACTGTGAGAGATATTTGCTTATGATTTATGCTTTCATGTTTATACATGCCGTGCATTATATACAAAACAGTAAGGGCTCAAGAAATAATTAATTGATCTTTCTCTAGAATAGGGATACACAACTTCAACACTATTGACATTTTGGGCTAGATAATTTTTTATTATGGGGGAGCTGACCTGTGCCTTATAGTATGTTGAACAACAACTCTAGCCTCTACCCACTAGATGCCAGTAGCAAATCTACAGTTCTGACAACTAAAACTCTCTTTGGCTATTGCCAACTGCTCTGGTACAAAATCACCCTGATTGAGAACCACTGCTATAGAATGGTTCATTCTGAATGTGAGAGAATTCTCACACTAATTTGTACTAGAAACAAAAAGGATTTGCTACATAACTTTAGTAGCTTTCTACTAATAAAATTTTAATCGTACTTCAATAACAAAGAGGTTTACAATTAAATTTTATAAAATTTCTAAACACAATAAAGTTATATTTATAACTTACATATATTGTAAAAAAGGTAGTGATTCAAATGCATTCCTTTCAATAAATTCTATTTTATTGCAGGATAAGTCTCTAGAAAAAGAAAATAATGCCTCAATTAGCTATTAGATATCTAACTAGTAGGAATAACTGGTAGAGGTTAGAATAATATTGAATACGCAGCTTTAGTCTAAACTCTAAACCTTAAGAATTGTAATTTGAACCATCCAGAACCCCTTACACTGCCCTCATCTCTCTTAAGAGTCTCACCTTCATGATCTTCATAAATACAACATAAACTATAGATCTTGATAGATTTTGAAGGAAATCTTTCCTGAAAGCAGAAGAATTGACTAGAGGACCATTTGTGGTCTCATAAAATTTAGAGTATGAGCTCAAAGTTTATATCTTTATGTATATTTATAAATGTCTAACATTAAAAGAAATAGTCTCACATCTACACACCTTCCTGGTTTCGTTCTGTTTTTCTAGGCAAATTCAATACCAGAAGAAATAAAAGATATCTTTTCATATAACTTGAAAGGAAGTGACTGCTCTAATTAATACAGAACTTTGAACTAATTCTGAATGATACTTTCTATTATATTAATAGAAATTCATTTCTTATTTTACATTGCTTTAATACCTATGAATTTAATTGCTTCAGTTGTACAGAGGTGGGACAACAGAAAACAACATGGTACTGGATTTTTATTTGAAAACACCATCTCTTGTCTATAATTGACTGTCTTATTTCCATTGATTCCACTTTAGTCCCTCACTTTTCTCCTGGATGGGTATAACTGTCTTTTGACTCGTGTTTCCATCTATCTCCCCCTTGCTAAACCATCCTGCACACAGTCACCAGATTAACACTCCAGAAGTGGTTCTCAAATACCAGCCAGCATCACTTGGGAACTTATTGAAGATGCAAATTCTCAATCCGACTCTGGATTGACTGAATTAGTAACTGGGGGTACAGCTTGAGTTTTAGCAAGCTGTCCAAATGACTCTGTTGTAGGCTAAAGTTTCTCCTTGAGCAATGGTGTGATAACGTGGTACTTGGCATTCAAAGTACTAGAAGATCTGGCTCTAATCTCCTACTCTCCCTCCTTGCACTCTACAGATACTCAAGGTATTTTTCCTGTGTGTTGCCTCTCCCCAGGCTCCTTTTGCAAGCTAATTTCATCCAAGATGTCTGTCTGATGATCCCAAAGCGCCTTCAAGGTCCTGTTCAAACAGCTTTGCTCTACTAACATCTTTGCTGGTCCATCTTGAAGTCTCTTTTCCCTCTGCTCTGATCAAAACAAACTTATCTCTCATTGTCCATATCCATGTCTTCTTTTTTTTTAATATATTTTATTGATTTTTTACAGAGAGGAAGAGAGAGGGATAGAGAGTTAGAAACATCGATGAGAGAGAAACATCGATCAGCTGCATCTTGCACACCTCCTACTGGGGATGTGCCCGCAAGCAAGGTACATGCCCTTGGCCGGAATCGAACCTGGGACCTTTCAGTCCACAGGCCGATGCTCTATCCACTGAGCCAAACCGGTCAGGGCCCATGTCTTCTTTTTAATACAGTTATGTTTGTATCCTACTTCCTCTGAGCATAAACTCCTTTAAAGTATGGACTGGGACTTGCTCTACATTGTCTACTGACACATGAACAGGTATAACTCAAATATTTATAGAATAAACAAATAGCTGGGAAGTAGAGGGAGAAAAATGACTTTTAAAAGAAATGTAGTTTTGGCCCTAACCGGTTTGGCTCAGTCAATAGAGTGTCAGCTTGCAGACCAAAGGGTCCTGGGTCAATTCCATTCAAGGGCATGTACCTTGGTTGCGGGCTCCTCTCTGGCCCGGGCCCTGGTCAGGGCTCATGCAGGAGGCAACCAATCGATGTGTTTCTCTCACATTGATGCTTCTCTCTGTCTTTCCCTCTCTCTTCCACTCTCCCTAAAAATCAATGGAAAAATATTCTTGGGTGAGGATTACCAAAAACCAAAACCAAAACAAACAAAAAAAGAACTGTAGTTTTATTATTTCATGGCTCCCTCTTGTGTGCCACTGCAGCATGGTGTCTTCCATTTGGTACTCGTGCTCTATGGTTTGAGTGAGATCATGAATTACTAGAAGGGTAGGAACCCTGAAGTACCTATCTTTGTGTCTATAGTACTAGTAAAGTGCTTGGGAAATTCTTTTTTAGCTTGCTTATTCATTGGCATTTTTTAGTATTTGGGAATACTTATGCTAGCATGAAATCGTTAGCTTACAAAGTATTTCACAGTGGAAGTAATGAATGACCTAACTTATTAAGCAGTTATTTACTTCATTTTATTTCCTCCAAACCGTTTATAACGTTTGGAAGCGAGATGGCAGAGATACCCAAAAAGACCAATACAAAAGTGGATGTCCCTCTGAAGCTTGAAAGGTTTGATAATACAAACGACTATTTTGAGTGTCATGTGAGGCTCTTTATACCTACTTCACTTAAGCATTCTACATTTGCAAAAAGAATCCACTTGCTAAAGAGTATCATTAATTAGCTTAATAAGGATTAATGACATACAAAACTTTAAGTGCCATGGACCAAGAATCATAATTGAGCTTTTATAGCAAAGAGCATCTCTTTATTTCTAAGTAAATAGAATTACTAGGCAAGTATTTCTTCCTTGACAAGGAGGCTGGAGAGGTTTTTATATTAAAATTAGTGAAATTAGGGACATTTCTGATATGCTTATTTAGTGTAGTCATTTGTAACAATACCACTTAACCATCATTTTAAACATTTATTTTTAGTATTGGTATAACAATTCCTGCATTGAAATCCTCAACACCAATTTGCTTTCTTGGTAACTTAATATGTTCTTAACAATATTGTTTACATAATTCATAATTAACATTTAATGTGTAAATGTTAATCTCATTTAGATTAAATTATCAAAAAAATCTGGTTAATGGCATTCAAATTAATGTAAATGTTCTACATTTTCTTGTCCTATAGGAGACAATTTGAGGTTAAATTGAATTCCTCTCATTTTACTAAATCAATATTTTAAAAACTTTTCTGTAAAGGCCAGACAGTAAGGCTTTGCAAGCCCCGGACAGTCTGTCACGCATACAGTTATTCTTCTTTTTTTCTTTTCTTTTACAGGCCTTCAAAAGTGTAAAAATCATTCTTAACTTATGTGCTCTAAGAAACACACAAACATAGGCCTGATATAATCCATGGCCTCTAAACTAAATATAAATATAAATATAAGCAGATGGTATATGAACACTTATATAACAAGGCGCATATGGGTGTGTATAATTACTCAGACCTCATTACCACTTTTACTCAATAATTATCTATATCTTGTCTATATGATTAAAAAATGAAAATATGTAAGAGATATTAAATGCTAGAAATGGGCTGGAGCCCAACACAGACTTACAGAATTTTATTGTTGGGAGAAATTATAGAGATTATCTTATTTGAACCCCTTATTTATTTTATAGATAATATAACTAAAAAACTCATAAATAAAAACAATTAACTTACAAATACTGGAGGGAAAACAGGCCTTCAAATGAATCCTTACGTAATTCTCTCAAATTATTTCCACTGAGATTTCTGAAAAATGAAAAGGTTATTTCTGGATCAAAATGCAAAATAACTACAACTATTTACTGTACAGAAATATATATGGGGAAACTTGGGTAATGGTGCCTGCGAAATACCCTAATTTTTATTTAATTGAAGGAAGATAATCTGTTTTATTTTCAAACCTTTCTTCTCACGTTTTTTTTGTGCAAACAATAGGCCATTCTAGAATTGATTCACTTTCCTTCCTCAGCTTTCTGTCTATCCAAAGAACTTATCAATACTTGAAATTATATCTATGTATTTATTATATTTATATATTTTTTCATATTATACATTTGTAAACCCCTTGAGAACTGGCATAATTTGTCTACGTTGTTCTTGGGCCTGGAATCCTGGCACATAAAACAGTTCCTGGCATATAGCAGATGTTCCATAAATACTTTTTCCATGATTTCAGAAAATGACAAACATCATTTTCAGTCTACTACTTTTATTTAAAACAAATCATCCATTTACTATCACTCATGAGAGTAATTACAACTTTATAGGCAAGGAAATATCTTTCTTCTCCCCTAAATTTGTGACTCTTAATCTTTGGAGATAAGAGCCCTGTGAGAATTTTCATAAAATCTATGGACCCTTTGCCTAGAAAACTGCACCTTCTTGAATACATGCAAAAGTGTGCATGTAATTTCCATTTGTTGATTATCCCTTTAGGGCAGAGGTCAGTGAATAGGATTGAATTCAGGGGGCCAAACCTGAATGAGGAATAAAATTACATTTCTATTTTCACAAACCTCTACCTAAAATTAGCATTGCCTTGCATTGTGAATTTAGGCAACAAACCATAGATTAGCAGTATGGTAGTTCATTGGGTCTCCAATAAAGATATTTTCATACAATAAATTTTCACATATTTTTTGCAGATATCTCAAAATATCATTTATTAATTCTCATCACTACCTTGAAGTTATAACAGTCATTAGACCAACCACTATAGCTTGTTATTTAATATGTTAAGCGAAGCAGATTTGCCCTGGCTGGTTGCTCAGTGGTTAGAGCATCAGCCCACAGACCAAAGGGCATGTATCTCAGTTGCAGATTCAATCCTTGGGCCCAATGTGAGCAGGTGGCAGTTAATCAATGTGCCTCTCTCATGTAGATTTTTTTTTCTCTCTCCCCCCCGCCCCACCTCCCTCCTTTCCACCCTCTCAAAAAAAAAAAATCTATAGAAAAAATATCTTTGGGTGAGGATTAAATAAAAAAATAAAAAAGAGAAGTGGATTTATTAATAATCTTTTAAAAATATTTTGAAATCTACATTTCAATAATAGGTTTATTTATTTTCCTATATATTTTAACTAAGAACATAGACTTCTGCAGATCACCAGAGATACATGGGGGGGAAAAGGTTAAGAAATCGTGTACTGCCTCTAGCTGGTTTGGCTCAGTGGATAGAACGTCGGACTGCAGACTGAAGGGTTCCAGGTTTGATTCTGGTCAGGGCACATGCCTGGATTACAGGCTCAGCCCCCAGTGTAGGGCATGCAGGAGGTAGCCGATCAGTGATTCTCTCTCATCATTGATGTTTCTATCTCTCTCTCCCTCTCTGAATCAATAAAAATATATTTTAAAAAATGAAATCATGCACTGGGGGTCCATTGACCCTAAGTTAGGAACCTCTCCCTTATAAAGAATAAGTCTCAAGCTGACTTAGAAATCTTCAAACCTTATGAGAGTCATGTTACTGTGTATCAACTCCCAAACACAAGTTTTTTTCAAAATTAATGTTTTAAGTTCAATTTATTAAAAAAAATATGTAATGTAGGTTCTTATGGCTCAAAATTCCAAAGGAATACGGTACACAATCCAATGTGTTTTCTCCTAGATCAGCGGTTCTCAACCTGTGGGTCGTGACCCCTTTGGCAGTCAAACGACCCTTTCACAGGGGTCGCCAAAGAAGATCCTGCATATCAGATATTTACATTACGATTCATAACAGTAGCAACATTACAGTTATGAAGTAGCAACAAAAATAATTTTATGGTTGGGTCACAACATGAGGAACTGTATTTAAAGGGCCAGAAGGTTGAGAACCACTG